GGAGTGAATATACAATTTCCGGGGCTCTTTTATTACCATCCCTTGGTGCCATATTATGCTGAGTGCAGAGTCGTGGTCAGTTCTAACATCTCAGACATCTGGTCGCTGTCTCGTTCGCTCTTCATCCGGTTTAAAAAAATTATTGTCTCTACCATGCGGTATAATAACCGGTATGATTCTTCTGCGTAACTACTGAACACTTAGAATTAATGGGGCTGCAACGTGGCATATTTTAAGGGGTACTATTTAGGCAATTCATGTGGCATATAAATTAAAACTGTATCTATGTGTGAGTAGTAAATGAACATTAGTGAGCTTAATCCGTTATCGTTTCCGAGAATCGAGTCGGGCAACCTCGCCGGAAGCCACTCTCACACACGCACGCACATGTCAATACATTGAGAAAAAAATAAATATATTCTTGTTTGTAGGATGGAGTGGCCGAGCGGTCTAAGGCGTCGGTTGCGACGCAGCCTTCGCCGGATCGATTCCCGGCCGTGGGTGGCATTTTTCTTCGGGCAAGTCAGGGTGTCCGGAGAACAAGTGCCACCATGGCGCCATCCCCCACCCGGGCATGGTAGATACCTACGGGTGCCCAAATCGAAAATACTGCCAAAACACACACGTGTTAACAAACCTATAGTACCCCCCCCCCTACAGTATCACAGGCTTATGACCTAAGTTGTCGAACCCTAATAAAAAAAAATTCTTGTTTGCATAACTATAAAACTACTAAAAGCGGTAGTAAATTAATCATACTTCTCGAAGTTTGATTGTAATTTCGAAAAAATGGTTGAATTTATAAACTTCTAGACTATGCTTCTTAGGAATCACTTTTTTTTATTTAAAATCAGATGTGCCCAAAATAAATACAAATGTAATGCAATTATTTCGTGGGATTTCTAAAAAAAAAATGGTTATTTTAAGGTCGTTTTAAATTGAAAATTGAAAATCGACTTCCTAAGTAGCCTAGATATTTTATCAATGAATTCAAACATGTATAAAAAGTTTAAATCGGACATTCCGAAGTATGTGTAATTTACCACCGCTTATTGATCTAAAACGTATGAAAAATACTTTCTTTGCAGCCTCCTAAATTCTCAGTCTCACAGGTGATCGTAATGCCTAAAATTGTATAATCTGAGCAGAGCGATGTATGTATTGATTCTACAATGATGTGTGTCTTATTTTTTTTGTGTGTTTGTGTACACGACAAGTAGTTCAAATAATGCTTCGATCAACTTTTTTCAGATTCAGTATCTTGTTGGTGCATTTCTGGACTTCGGGAGGTCAACATTTAAAACTCCCATTAGTTTTCAAAAACGCGTGGAAAAACAAAAATTAATTATAAAAGACTGGAATTTTTACCCAAAATCAGTTTTTGACAAAATTCAATTTATGTTTTGGTGTAGGCATGTAGTTATAAAGCAAAAACCGTAGATACATGAAATGTTCAGTGAATGTTTATATTAGCAATATGTTACACACCATTTTCTTCAAGCCACTTTCTGAACGTTCGACATCGAAGCACCTCGAATTTATATTGGGACGACTTAGCATTCGCATCCCTGGCAATACTCGTAATAAAGATTTCTTTTACATTCCACGCTTGGCCGTAGCAATTTTGGAAGAAATGCGGTATTACCGGTTACGCTGTACTTACGGTAAATACCTACCGAAAATATCGAGGTGCGGAAATTACCGAAAAATATTGTACGATTCGTACCTCGGTATAATTATCAAAAATACCATAACCTCGGTAAATTTATTACTTTATTAGTGTTTTCAATTTTCCAATCTAGGATATTGAACGTTCAATATATTGACACTCTTCCCCCAGAAGGACCGCAACCTCTTGCGAAGACAGTCGGTATAGGCATGTCCTATATCCATTCTTATAATCTTAATCCGTGATATATGATATCAGATAACAGATAAATTAACGAAAATTACAATATTATAGTATGTCATTATGAATATATAAAAATAATAATTAATAAATGCTGGTAGATATATCAGTAATTACCGAGGTACGGTATTTTCGGTAATTTATTAGGTACCTACCTTGTTATTTTCGGTAATAACGGTAAATACAGAATCACGGTAGGTATACCAGTATTCTGAAAGGATAGGTACCGGTATTTTTTAAATAAAGGTAATTATCGGTATACCAAAAATACCCGAGTACAACTACACATAAATGTTTTTTTTTTTTATTGAGCTTAGCCTGGCAATCATGGCCGTTAGCTGTTTTTTTTTTGTTTGTAAGGGGAGGGACGGTTGGAACTGTTGGTTTAAATACGTTTGTATGTGTGGCAAGCATTTGTAGCTAAAAATCGCGGGTGACGGTCACCCATCCGGGAGCTAGCAACATCGGCCGATACGTACACTCAGAGCATTTCCACTGCAGTTGAATGAACCACACGCTAAATCACAAATAAATGTTTTAATAGGTATTACAGTTTTACGTATACTTATTGTATTACACTAGGTAACTACCTACCGTTTTTCTATAATTTTGTCAATATTGTTATAAAAGCCGACTGGCGTTAATTTTAACGTAGATTTTCGTGTATCTATATAGTTATTCGTTTTTGAATTACAACAAAATAACAAAATCACTAGGTACATGAGAAATCGATATCCAATCTTGTAAAAATATGAACTTCAAACTCTCATAAAAATGTAATTTGATTTGCTTTTAGATATTTATTTTTTTGATAAAAGTAGGGAAACTTATGAAGAATCGTGTATTACATTTTTAAATGTTAGATTTAAACAGAAATATTTTTATGAATTTCTAACTCAAAATAATATACAAATTTTCTTGAATTTTATGTATTTTGTCAATATTTGAACTTAAATGCTTAAAAAAACATTGTGACTGGATTTTTAACATTTTTCATCTGTCTTTGAAACAATAAATTAGGAGTCTGGAGCCGATATAATATAAAGTTAGGAGATGTTATGAACTGATTTACATTTTTATATTATTTTGGGTACCTACAACTCCATTTCGTATGGGCCACAACTACGGTAAAATATCTGACGACCACCAACATGAATTTAGCAATCAGCTGTTTTTAAGACCGTAATGCTAATATACGTTAGAGTGCAAGAGCGTGTGGTACCTATTTAATAGTAGACGGTCCCTCAGTCAGAATCATCAAACTTACTTCATTCACCAATCACCCAACATATACACGGCGACAGCGGAAATCTATGCATATAAATATATATCATGGCAGTACAATTTACAGTCCACCAGACAATAAATTCACTCATGAGTGATTATCTGATCGCCCTAATGGCCAAAATGCCTAATATCACTTTAATACCGACACCAGCAGAATGAACTTACCAACTCACAAAAGAACTGATCTCATCGAAAAAAAATCAATTTTATGTGGGTCCCATCCCACGTAGTCGAAGGAATTTCAGGGAGAGAGAAAGCTATATGAAGCAGTCACTTTCACAACTACCAACTCCGTAAACGAAATCCCTAACAAATACCTGATGTCCTGATACACAAAGCTCAAAAACAAATCTTTAGCACATGGCAAAACCACAGGGATTGCATTCCAAACAACAACTAACTGAGGAATGACAAAAAAACGTTTTAAAATGAGCTTATCCAGACAACTCATCTAGGAAAAAACAAATAATAATTAACATAGCTAGAAAAGGCCACTCCCATCTTACGCACAATTATTATCAACTGCCCCAAATTCTCAACTTCATGTCATCTCCTCAACCATCACATCGCCAATATTTTTAATTTTTTAAACAAATTGATTTAGATAAAAAATTGTAACTATACCTGTATGGGCTAAATGTAACAATGTTCTTTTTATCTCTTATATTGAATAAGTTAATTTAATATGTAAATAAAAAATACAATTAAAATTAAAAAAATATTTTAAGTTATTAAAAATATAGTTACAAGCTTCACATTTGATTACAAATTAATAATTTAGAAATGTGTTAATTTTAATTTTTTTTAACTGTCATAAATTAATATTCTTTCATTGCGCAAATTAAGGAATGCACCAAAGGGTAGTGAGAAGCATAGAGATTTAAAAGAATGAATGCAAACATAAACTTATAAAAAGTGATATTCAATATAATATATAATATAATATACATAATCATGATTATATTTTGTCCATTACATAATAGTATGATTTCTTTTAAAATATAATATTGAAATATTTAAAGCCTTAACAATTTTAAATCAACTTTATGAACAACAAAAATAATATACTAATCATAAGATACTAAGTGAGCATATTATTGTCAATAATAAATTGAGCTAAATAAAACAATAATTATTAACATAAGACAAATGTGTGGCGTAGTCAACAATAATATCTACTAATATATCAGCTAGCCAATAAAATAAGTTTTTATAGTTTGCTATTTAAAACATGCCAATAATAATTATTTCACATTTCCATATTAAAACATGTTAAATATATAAAAGTTACTTTTTTCTCTATGTTTATACACAAATTGAATGCATTTTTTTACACAAAATTATAAAGTTATTTCTATATAAACTTTAACACTAAATTTATAAAAAACAGTTTTAAAATTTTACAACATAACTAATTATCTTACATTCTAAATAGTGGTAGTTAAAAATTAGTCATCAAATTGTTATTCTATTCATTATTGAGGGAATTTTTTCAATGAATCAATGTAGACTTTTCTATTTAAAAGATTTTTGTGGTAACTATTTGTGAAAGAAATTTTATCTGAGCAGTTTTGTTGTGTCAAGTTTTCCAACTTAAAATATAAATCACAATCATTTTGGAAAAATGTCCGCAAAAGAAAAATAAACGAACAAATACATAATACATAATAAATAATAATAATTAAAATTGCATCTAAACTATATGATTAGCTAGCTTTAGCTATTACAATTTGATCGATTATAATACAAACATAAATTAGACATGAAATATATTTTTTTTTTAAATTTAATTTTATATACCCTGTTAAAACCAGTCAGCTGTATATGTAAAATCTTTAAATAACTGTTGTTCATCATCATTTAACAGTCTTGGATCTTTGGGTGGTGTTAGTTGTGGTTTTTCAGAAGTAAATTCTTCATCAAAATTACTTACATCTTCAACAGAATTCTAAAAAAAAAAAATTGTTAGACCTTGCACAGTTGAACAATAAAATATACTTACAACTGTAGGTACAAATGGTGGTTTAACTTTTCTGTGTAACAAATCATCCCAAACAACTTGTCTAAAGAATGCTTGTTTTTTCACATCTTCCGCATCTCTTTCACTTGATCCTAATCTTCGTTCTGGATTTTTGCGTAAAAGCTAGATCAAAAAATTGCTATATTAATAAATTAATTCTCATTAACATTATGCAAGTGAAATAACATACTCTTCGCATAATTGCAATTGCTTCCAATGATAAGAACCTGGGATACCTAACTTCATCATTCACAATAGAATCAAATACTTCTTCTTCATCATCACCTGGGAATGGTGACTATGGGTGGTAGAAATATACAATTATTTGTAAGAATAATACTATAAATATTATATTATAATATTTACCTCTCCAACAAGCATTTCAAATATAAGAACTCCAAGACCCCACCAATCAACACTACGTGTATATGACGTTTCAGTGAGAACTTCTGGAGCTAAAAATTCAGGTGTTCCGCAAAATGTTCCAGTTCGATCCCCATATCCCATACCTTCTTTGCACAATCCAAAATCCGCTATTTTCACATACCCATCGGTATCCAATAATAAGTTATCCAATTTCAGGTCACTAAAATATGAAAGTACACCACATTATTAGCGTTTTAAAAATAATGAAAATGTCATCATACTAACCGATAAATTATACTGTTTTCGTGTAAATACTGTAATCCTAAAACAACACAGGCAGCATAAAACACTGCCCTCGGTTCTGTAAACACATCGGCATGTATATGCATCATCAAATCACCACCAGCAGCATACTCCATTACAAAACAGACATGAGCCTGTGAAAAATATATTGGAAATATAGTTGAAGAGGTTTTTAGAAATTAAAATTTTATATAATAAAATAATGTTTTGGTAGCCTTACATCAGTTTGGAAGCAAGCAAATAAATTTACAAGGAATGGATGTCGAATATCATTTGCAACTTCAAATATTCTTTTTTCGGACAACAGTGACTCAACTTCATCACGGGCAATTATATCACCTTTTTTTAGTGCTTTTATGGCAAAATATTCACTAGACTTTTTATGTTGACACAAAATTACCTAAAGATTGGGAAAGAAGATAAAAAAATTAAATGTAAATACTAAATATTAAATAATAATATTAAGTGTTATTACTTATATTTTTGCAAAAGTGAAATTTACCTTTCCAAAGTGGCCTCTGCCCAATACACTAAGCAGTCTAAAGTCATCCATAGACATTTGAGAAAATTTGAAAGCACTAGATAGTGTGATTTTATTAGATTCCGCTGGTTGCATATTATTAGATGTTGTAAGTTGATATGCTTTTGGTTCATTTTCCCGGTAATCAAGTACACGAGAAACAGGATGACTAAATAGTGGCGACTACAAAAATCAAAAATATATTTTAATTAATGAATCAACGATACATCTAATACATATTAGGGTAGTTTTTAAAACCAAGCATAATCATAGACTTTTTGTATATGTATATCTTCAAGTGTAATATATATAATATATTCATATAATATATCATATAATACAAGGATAAGATAATGCTTGATTTAAAAAAAAAAAAAATAAAAAAATTACATGTTATTAATGATGAATTATGGTGTTAATGTAATACTCTATAGTCTATACCAGTGGTCTCAAATATGTGGCCCGTAAACCCTTTCAGTCTGGCTCCCTTAAGCCAAATAAATAAAGACAGCATTGACTTCTTCTATTGATTATAATTATTAGAATATAACTGTATTTAATACTAGGTATTACAAAGATGTACATATCGATTTTTTTTTAATAAAAATAAATAATTATTAAACAAAAAATCAATATGTATATCTTTGTAATACCTATTACCTAGTATATTAAATACAGTTATATTAAAATAATTATAATCAATACAGAAGAAATAAATTTTGTCTTAATTTATTTGGTTTATTTTGGATTTAATATTAAGATAAGTAAAATAAATAAATATTTTAAAAAAGGTGTTTTTTTCCCACAAACACTTTGACGTATAAGGTAAAAATGTATGGACTGTTGGTAATTGGAGTTTGAGACCACTGCTCTATAATACTAATACCTAACATCAAATAACATCAAATAAATAAATTACATCAATCAAACTAATAGCATAATCAAAATTTAAAGCATATTCAATTTTGTATTAAAGATCCTAATATTAATGTTAATATTTTGTTTAGCATTTCAGAACTCAAGTTACATGTTAAACACCATAGTAACAAATATTTATTATTATTATTTCATTTCCTTTGTTCAAAAACAGTGTATAGGTATAATAATAATATCAATAATAAAATAACAATTAATATTTGTGTGTTACAATGTACACTAAGGTGAAATGATTGATAGTAAATATAGTAAGTTAAAAATAACTGGACTATTTTTACATGTTTCAAAATTAAAAATGTATAATATGTTGCATCCACTTAATGAAAAGTATCAATATTGTGAATAACATCTCACTTTTTACATAATATTAATGATAATTACTGTCCATTTCACAAAATGAATGGTAGTTTTATACAATATGGACATTCATATCATAAAGATAGGTTAGCCTAGGTAAGGACAAAAATATCTGTCCATTTTGTATAAAAAATGTTTTTTTTAGTGTGTACAAAACGACCATCCGTTTCTTGAAATTAATTTAAATCATTATGAATGTAAAAAGTGTATATTTCATAATATAACTACTTTTAATGAAGAACATAAACATTCACTTAGCGAAGAAAAAGGGAGAAGAAGAATTTATTTAAGTGGTTGCACCATATGTAACAATACTAAAATATTTATGATACATTTTATGTAAAATAAATCATTTAACTTACTATACTCAATGTTGGTGATTTAAAAAAAAAGTACCAATAATTGAAATATTTATAATATTACCACAAAAAAAAAATAAAACATTGTCAAAGTTACAAAAATCCAAAAACCTTATTTAAAAATAAAATTAAAGATTATGATGTAAGCTATGTTTTACTTAAAATTCTGTAAAGGAGTTAATAGAGATTCTATTATACCCAGTATAAAACATTAGGAAGTATGCTTAGTAAACCTAACCTAACCTATTGTAATAACCTTAGATATTTTACACTATAAAATATTAAAATGTGTAAAATACTGTTTAGTGTTTAAACTACATACTTCTAAATGATATAACCATACGACTCATTAATTATTATGTTGTGTATAGGACTCAATCATTAAATTATAAAAAAAATAACCAATAGGTATAGGTCTATAATTTATCTACCATAAAAAAATGTATAATCTAATATTGAATGAAAAAATGCACATCCCTTCAACTTCACTATTAGTTATTTATTATTAATATTAACTGCCTAAATTAGTTTTAAAAGCTATTTTATTAACTGCATAAAATCTTTAATTCAGAGAAACTAAAGAAAAATATGATCTGTATACGAATAGTTGTAACTAATATGTGGTGCAGTAAGAAAAAAATAACGATTATATCTATATAATAAATAAAAACTGTGGTCACCACTTAAAGTAATCACTTTGATACCTGACAAAATGGACAACATAAAGTGACTAATAATACTAAACAAAAATTAAGGTATGCACGAACATACACTTTTTGATAGCAATATACGATTGATAACATTAACTGTGATTACTATAAGTGGTGACCCACTGTAGTAACTATAATCAATTAATACATGAAGAATAAGGTTAGTAAAATATTTTTATAAGAATTAAGTTCATATATTGTTAAAAGTATACTCTGAACAAGGAACTTTTGGAATTAAATAATAAGAAAAAATTGATGAATTACTAAATATTTAAGCTTACTGTAAACAAAATTATATTTGAAAAATAATAATTACTAATTGTTATCTAACGAATATAATATAATATGTAATATTATATAAGTATTTTGTTTTTTTTTTTTTTTTTTTTTAATTTATTGATTTGTATCTTTAAGTAATTAAACATATTGTATTATTTATTTAATCATAAATATTTAACTAAAACTCAAAATTTATATACTAACTTTTAAACAAAAGCAATTAATAGGCTATAATTTAAAAGATTGTTTTATCTTTAAAAATTATATGTTTATACTTTTTACACAGTCAAGTTATTCTTAAACTAATGTTTAGCTGAATGAAAGCAAATTTTAAAAATATACATTATGATTTAACTAGAAATATTAGTAGTTTTATTCATTTGATATAGTATCTAATGTAAAAAAAAAGTCTACTCCAAATCATTCATGCACAAGAACAGTTAGAAATGGATGATATACCAGTTAGGCGCACGCGTGTTAGATAAGCCTAGCACAGTGGTGTAGGAAGAGTATGTACCTCGTCCTGGGGAAACTCTACAAGAGGAGACGGCTGCGGTGTTCCCAAAGTTGAACTTCCAACACTTTCTATGCTCACAGACATTGTCATTACATGTCTCCTATGAACTGGCGGTAATGTCTGTTGCTCGTCGTCATGTAAAAAGTCAAATTCCTTCAACGCATTCTGCAGCTATACATATCATACAAGTTACCCCCCTGGTGCATTGATGTTCAAAAAGCTTCATAGCTAACATTTTTAAAATTGCATTTTAAGCAAGAATATAATACTCACCTCTTGATCTAATTGTCGTGGTGGCCTTGGAGGTGGCACAGTTGGTACAGCTGGTGTTCTCTTATTTGCTGCTATAACTGTTGAAGGTAGGAATGTGGGAGACCCCGTAGATAGGTTTCGCTGTTCAGTGATAGTAGGTGGCAGCGGTGGTAGAACTGCAACCCCTAAACCTAATGGTCGTGCGCCAGCCAATCCACAAGTGTTAATTGGTTCAGGTGTTTCGCCAGGTGTACATTTTTCTTCGAGTCTTGTATCGCCTCCATCTAAAGGTTACATTAGTTAGGTAATTACATTTAAGTCAGTTACTTATGCAATAAAAATTATTAATTAATTTAAACCTGTAGAGCTGTCAGAGTGTGAATGTGATCTTGAGTGTTGCTGTACAGGAACTAATGGTGAATTTTGGATTGAAGGTGAAGATCTTTTAAGAAGTCGACTCCAAGCAGCTATATTGATGTTCATTTGATTGGCTCTAGGGAAGTTTTTAGCTTGCTGTTTAAATATTTTGCGTTGTCTTCGTAAACGAGGTTGACGTGATATCATAGGATTTAAAAATTTGATCTAAAAATATAAATAAATTATTAAATATATTTTTAGAAATCAGAAATCAGAACAATTAATCAAATATGATAACTGCATTTATATACAAAATAAAATAAAACTATATTAATAAGACACTGAACCCTAGTTAATTATTTCCATCTTATTAAGATTAACACATAACATAACAAAATGTATGTTTAGCAGTTCCAATTTTGTGTTTTAAGCTTAAATATTGGAATTAATTAACTTATTATCAAACTTAAATGTAAGAACATCGTCTGTATTCTTTATTGGATTTTCATGATTTTAATTTTTAAAAACCAAAGAATAGAATTATTAGCGAGATTAACTTAGATTATAAATTATAATAGGCATTATAATAAATCCAAAAATAAAAATGATTTATCCATCAGGACTAACAAGCAAAGGTTAATGTTATATTTTGAATGATTATGTTAATAAAATATACAGAACTGCCACTGAATATTGAATACACAGATAAAAATTGTGTATTGTTCTGTCATAAATTCCAGGTTCCATCAATTTGGTCATTAAATAAAATTTATCAGTTTTGACTTTGGATAAGACATTTAGATGTATGATTAGTCATATAGATAAATATATAATAACTACAGGTGTGGTTATAACTAGTCTAAAAGTATAGTTGTTGTCAGAAAATTTGTCAAGCCTAGGCTAGTGGTTTATCAATAATTGTTCCCAAAATAATAAATCCATACAGCAATCACTACAATAAGGCTTGAGTGTCATAAAAGATAAATCGTGACCACTCATATGGTTTATCGCTTTTACTCGCATGGGGTAAAAACATACCCAAGGTACATCTTAATTTTGACTGGGGTAAATTTTTAACCTGCATGAGTTATAATAACATGTTACATTTGTTAAATTAACTAAATTACTTATTCCTTCCTATTCAATTTATTATTTATAAGATAGTAATAAATGTTAACTGTCGATAAATAAAACAAAACCATTAAAAATACTATAATAACTAAATATATGCAAATTACCTCTGCAAAAAGAAGTCCTTGTGGTTCCAATTGTAAAGCCATACCATGTCGAATATCATCAATAAATTCTTCTAATCGAAGAAATTTAATGGCACACAATGATCGCCAATCTCTCCAATATACACCAATCTCAAGCTCTCGAGATTTATCCAAGTCAATTGAAAATCTATTACCAATTTAAATTCATAATATTAAATTTGTATTTTTGAAGAAATTACACCTTAAATACATAAAACAAAACTTTCTAGTCTTCAGATAGTCATTTTTATATTCAATAGTTAATAGCTATTAGTAAATAGAAATATAATAAAACTATTTTCAATGTTCTAAGATTTTGAATACCTACTTTTAATCAATATTTTAAAGTATACATTAAGAAAAAAATGTTTTCCCAATCTCAAAGTTATTAATTCATTTAAGAAAAATACTCTATATAAAATTATTAAAGATCACCTTTGGTCCCAGGCTTGTTGAGAACATGGTCGCCAGCTAGTTTGACCAACTGTTTGATTATCTAGTTTAATAACAGCCATGATTTCATCTACAAATTTAAAAATTAATAAATTGCTAAATTAAATATATATCATTATTTTATAACTTACTACTAATTTCATCTTTAATATTGTATGATTTACTAGAACTACGCCCCGTCACTCCTTTTACAAAAGATCTTAAGTCTCCAGGATTGTCTTTTTCTCGCCTTGATCTACCTGGAACTTCTTCGAGCAAATCCTGACAACCCATTAACCTATGGAACATTTTTTAATAAGTAACATGTTACTATTTAGAAAGTGAATCAAGATACCAACCTAACTTCAAGTTTACCAGTAACCGCAGCACACCTAGATACAGTAGCTTTTTCTGGTATGACATTTCTTTCTGTTTTCAGAAATGGCTGTAAACTAACATAAGCATGATTTGGAGTTGGACTAGCAGCTTGAGCGTTTTGTAATTCTCGTACTAATTGGATAGCTGTTGTTGAATTAGCTGGAAGCTCTTGGCGACGGTGTTCAAGCGACTGTCGTAAAAGATCCAATTTACAACTAGATTCTGAAAGATTGGCTTGTGCCTATTGAAAAATTAAAATAATACTTTTTATAAAATAAATCATTAAAATAATTATTTAACTATAATTCATTAATGCTTTAAATTACTCTTATTAATAAGATACTAATAAAGATATTTTGAATGATATATTGAGTTGAAATGTAATGATAAAATATCATTAAATCTTAAAAAACAATTCTGAGTGAAGGACGATTAAAGTTGTTTTATTTTGTCCTTACTCCTTTGCAGTTATTTATTTTATGAATATGGAAAATTACTAACACAAATAATCTTTATTTTAAATGATTAATTTCCCCCCTTGATTAAATTTCTTAACTATATACCAAACACATACAAATTTAATAATAGTTTATACCATGAATTTTATAAATAAACAATATCCGATGTAAAATAGAACAAATTTTTTATTATAAAAGTTAAAATTGTATACGAAAAACGATTTTGAACGAAACTATGATATTGCTAAGTATATTTGATGATATTATTGTGAATAATGTAATTTATTTACCTTTTTACTTGGAAACGTGTTTTCAATTTTAAATCCTTAACTATAAAATTTGAATATTTTATGCATTTTTAACTACAAAATTGTTTTTAAATTTTAAATCTGATAAATGTTCTCAAAAATCGAACTTTAAATGCTTATAAAAGAATATTGTGCCCATGTATTTTTAATATTTATCAACTGCTATTGTAACAATATATCCAGGAGCCTTGTATTACATTTTCATACATCACATTGGAAACTGAAAATGTCCATTAACAGCTCAAAACAAGTCAAAGTATTTTGAAAATTTTATCGTGAATACAAAATGCTATATAACATTCAGTGAAAATGTAATTTATTTTAGAGTTACACCACAAATTTAAATCAATATTGTAGAAAACCGAAAAATTCATGTTTTTCCTTAATTTTTTTTTTCGTTTCTAAAATTACTGGGAGTTTTAAATTTTGACTTCCCCAATGCACCAACTTGATTTACTTTCCAATCTAACAAGATACTGAAGTTGAAAATCGAAGCATTATTTTGACTACTTATCGTGTAAACACACAAAAAATAAAAAAAACCCATATCATTGTAAAACCAATGCATTCATCGCTCTTCTCAGAATCTATGACTAGTATTTACTTAATTTAATTAACAATAAATTAAATGTATTTTTAATATTTGTTGTGAATCTAGATGTCAATAGTAAGTAGATCACGAATAGGTCACACACACTTCCTCACCGTATGTCAAAACATTTTACCAAGGAGCCGCAACACAAAGTGCATCACAAGCGGCATGTAGTTTAATAACAACAAAACACTATACTGTGGAGTGCACTGCAGATCTGACCTTGTAGAATTTCATAAAAAAATACCACCAAATATAATGTAACCCATTAAATACAAATACATAAAATATTACAATGTAAAAATGAAAAATAAGCTAATTATCTTTGTAATGAAAGCTATGCAAAAATAATTTTAAAAAAACCATATATTATATAAACTTTACAATAGACATATTTACTAATAGTCAATCATATAGCATTTATATTATACCTAGTATACTTTGTAGTACATTACATATGATATAATATATTATAGATTGCTTAGAATAAAATTTTTTTTTGATAATTAAGTATTAACTCATTTTTTAATTATTTGTTTTTTTAAATACTTTATTATAAAAATATTTTAAACCAATATTGCAGAATATAATAACTATTAACTATATACTATCTATTATGTAGTAAGCAATAATTGTATGTTTTATTAAGTTAATTTAGCAAAATCTATTAGCAATATCATTAACATATTAATGCATAAGTACTTTCATTCATTTTTTTTTCAAAAAAAAAAAAAAAAAAAACTGGGAATAACCTATACGCTGTTTATATATGCATAATACAACGCAATATATTAAACCTTGATACTGAACTAATTAATTAAATCATAATATTTATGATGTACCAAAAAAAAATAGTATGTTTTGTCAAGTTGTTACATTATACTATCTGGAAATAGAAACTGCATCTTTTTAGCACACTTCATTTGGCTTAAAGCCATTACTCTTCTGGATATACTACTAAGACCATTTATTTAGTTTTGATTACAAATGTCATAAATATTTTATTATAATTTTAAAATATAGAATGTACGTACATATTAAATATATATTTTAATTAATTTTCACCAAGCTGCACAACAAACTGAAACATTCTTTAAGATACTTTATATCTATTTAGATTTTCAGAAGACCCTACTCATATATAATTATTTTGATATTTATTATCAACAAACATTTCACATCAATATATAGATAAATTATCATCAGGTGTACAGTTATTAATATTGTTAATTTATTTTGAATTGTGTTTTGGTATGGAATGCAGTATGTGGGTGAATTTGTCATATTTATGACCTTTGGAAAGCAATACTTGTTCCCTCTCTTCAACAACAGTAGCATGCTTTGAACAGTATGTTTGATGCTATGCCAAAACTACAGCTCTCAGCTGAGAATTAGGATACTTTTGACTCATCTAAGTGGCCAGTATTTTCTACAACACAGCTTTCGAATGTACACTTATAATATTCTTATATTACAAATTTAAAAGTGAAATACTTATGAAATGGAGAAAAAAATTAATGATAATAATTCTAGTTTAATGCATGATTGGTCTATTCACGCGCATTTAAAATTAACACAACAACCCAATAATAATCTACCATTGTCCCAGCAACCATGTTACGGATTTCAACGAGGAAATATTGTATTTACTGCCCAGCCACCTCAAAGGACAGATTCTGGTCTTGGCAGTTCATCTCGTGGATCAGCATGTGATTGTACTTTTAATATAGCACCTCAATGTGAAGTATGTTGTGGTATAAGAAGTCCCATGTCAGCTAGAAGAGCACAAAGTTTTACAGCACATTTTTGTACCAATGTTCCACCGAAAAAACATCTAGAAACTGTGGATGTATCTAGTCAGACATCCCCTTCTACTTCAACTGTCTTAACAAAGGTATTTTAGTTGTTTACTAATAATAATGTGCATCACTGATAAGCTTTTTTTTTTTGTTTAAGGAAAACACCAACATCTTTATAAAAAATCGTAAATTTGAATTAGATAAACATAAAAAACGTCATGCCAGGACTGTGCATATTGATGTTTACTGCACAGAATCTTCAGATTCAGATAATACTTTAACATCTAAATCTACAGACACATTACTTGATTTATCAGATGTCAAAATTAAATGTAAAAAGGTATCAAAAAAATCTCATAAGAGTCGAAGTCAATCAATAATGTCAAATAAAAGTATGTTACAAAGAAGTCCTTGTTTGTCAGCAATAAGTTCAACAAATACAATATCCAATTCTTCTTTTTACGAGTCATCTAGTTGTGGTTTATCTTCATTTATGGATTCAACTACATTAGAAAACAGTAGTTTTAATAGTTTTGAATCCGAAAATATACAAAAAAAATACCAATCAAAAAACAACGATGACACAACAAGTAGTAGTTCAGATGACGAATGTTCAGAGACCGCCTGGAGTTTCAATAGCATTGGTTCTCAAAAAAATCAAATTCTAGCAAGACGCCCATGGTCTAAGGTAAAAAATACAAACGACGATATGGGCAGCTTTAGTGACTGTTCACAATCACCCATGTATAGACAGCCATCAAATTCTACATTTGTTATGACTCAAGTTGCTAAAATGGCATCAAAGTTTGGACCTATGAGATCACCTGTAAAACAAGATCATCACGTTGGACCATCAAAGAATCCAGATTGTTCCTGTTTTAACTGCCGCAGGTATTACAATACCAGACATAGATCGTATTCCATTGGTAGTGAAGCTGGTCAATCAGAGATATTGACATTGTTTAGAAAATGTCTCTAATTTATTATTTTAAAGGCATATTATGTATAATTCAAACATAAATAAATTGTACTATTTTATAAAATCTTTTGCATTATGTAATTTATTAAATTTTAAGATAACAAAAAAAAAATAATGTAAAAATGTTGGATTTAATCCAAATAAATGAATAGAAGTAATTACATATTAAACTGAAAAGTAACCAAGGTTGTATTTTAGATTCTTTTTTAAAGCCAAAAATTTTAATCCAGGAAATATATTTAGATACTTTTGAGTTCATTTTATAAATAATAATTTTAAATTATTATAAAAAAATATTTATATTAAATCATTAAAAACATACTAAACAAACAATCATAGATATTAATGAAGTAATTATAAGTTATAATGTATTTAGTATGGAGATTTATAAATCTAGATAAAGATATAAAAATGCTTTTTATATTTGTTTATCAATATTAATAAGTAACAACACTTCATAAAATAAAATGTATCTTAAATTTATACAGTTTTAATTATTTAATTATTTATCTTATGATGTATAGTTGATGCGTAAATAAATAATACCAAAAATATTTTGTTTGACAATCTTCCAGGTTTATAAAAGAAATTAAAATGCATACAAAAATCAAACACTAACCTCATCTATTTATTTATTATACTACGGGATATTCTTACAATGTCTGGTTAAGTGTCAGTTAAGACTAACTGGCAGAATTCTATCGGTAACACCAAAGAAATTCTGCTAGTTAGCATTATCAGACACTTAAGGACGCTGCACAGACAATTGTTGTCTCAGTCTTACAAGTGTGTAACATAGCAAATTTTACGCTCAGCAGATAACGTTTAGCTGTGTTAGCTTAAAAACTAGAGTGAAAATTTTAAACAAGATTCCACGTAAGTAGTTAATTCTGTTAACAAAAAATCTAAAAAATACATAAGCACAGTTTATTTTTATAGCCATTTTAAGTTCAAATTTGGATGAAATTACATAAAAAAAACCTAGAATAACTATTTTAGTTATTTTGTTGTTATTGTATAATATTATTCGTGGGTACTTGAAACTTCTAAAGTACACTATTATATATCTATGATAGTATCAGGGTTTGTTGTTGATGTATAACATGTTATAAGTACCTAATGGATATTGTGATATGATTAATTTGTAATTTATTATAGGTACCTATTACAGGTCAATTTTTTTTAATACCATAGATAAGTATATAATATGTCTTACCTATACCTAGACTGACATCGTCCACCGCCCAGAATCGTTTTTCTTATACAATGATATTATATCATTGAATTCAAATTTAATACCTTCCATTATACAATTACCCACTTGTAACCTAGTGTACAGCAGAGCCCCTTTTTAATTGTTGAATGAGCTACACAATATTATATAGAAAAATAAAATATGTTTTAAGTATTTAATAAAATATATTATTTCATTTAATAAAATTTAAATATTTTAAAACAGAAATTATATATATGAAGGTATATCAGTTGTAACAGTATAAAGTATTTAATTTCTTTTGTAACTCATTTAACTATATAATTTGTTTTTCTACACATTGAAGATTTATATACAATTTTAAAATGCTTACTTCTTGAAGAGCTTTTTTTTCTGCAATTTTGGAACTTTGCAATGTTCTAATAACATTTTTGGCTCCTTCTACAACCGCTGCTTCAATTCTTAATCTATGCCGTAGCTCTGCTACACGTTCTTCCAATGGCGTTTCTAAATGTGACTCAGACTTCTCTAAAATCAAAATATCATAAAAAAAAATTAAAGGTTGCACATTAAATACAGTTATCAAGTTGGTGCACATACTCATATAGTGATTAATAATGAATCAGTTTTAAATGCATAAAGATTTTTTTCTAAATAAAGGCATACAATCATAAGTAAAATTTCTAAGTTGGTATATTATGTACATTTACCCTTTTCCTTTAATAAATTGGATAAAATTGTTAAACAAAATAATTGTTCAAAATAATTTACTAATGAATTTAAATTATGAATATTTTTACATTTTAAATTTTGAGTGGAATATTGGTTTTACAATTATTATCCGTTGTTGTTTTTTGTGTTCACTTGAAATATAGTAGAAAAAATCTCCATTTTTGAAGATGATCTCAGGTGGCAAATTTTTCTATACTCAGTTCATCGAAAGAATGTTTGTACTTCACACTGATGACTGGAGCCGAGGAGTGGGGATTTTGGTGGTTGCGACGAGGTACAACACATTTCGGTTTGAGAACAACCACATTCTCTCAGTAAACAGAGTAAGATTGGTCTTTCAGGAGGTCAAAAGTAAAAAATTCCGAGTAAATTTTTAAAAGATTCATCAGAGAATTTGCCAATAATACAATTTTTTAGTTTAACATCAAAATGATGAAAATTGAATACAAAATTAGTAATTAGTAATTACTCAGGTTTTTCTTAATAATATTTGAAAAAAAAGTTTAGAGCATTCACATTCATTTTTTATAAGTTTTTTAAGTTCAAATTTTGACAAATATGAATATGAAACATAATATAATAACAATATATACACAAACAATTCTTCTTGTTTTGTTATAGTTCAATCATCATAAGAAATTGAAACATTTCACTATTACTTAAATAAAATTGTACTTTGCTAACACAGTACAATTTTCAAATTATTAAGCTATTAAGCTATTATTTAATTTTTTACATTTTCTTCATTAAATAGTGAAAAAAATGCTGTCAAAAAGTTTGAAAAAGTAATAGAAGGATCATCAAGTTAAGCTTATATCAATTTAAAAATATTAAAAATATACGGAAACATTATTGATTTATAATTGTTTGAAAATTTAATTATGACAAAATTCATCATAATAACAAAAAATTTCAAATTTATTTGTAGTTAATTCATATATTAAACAACAAAGCTTGAGAATTAATACAAGGTTTAATATAGGTACGGTGTTCTTACAGAAACCAAAAAATATAATTGTAAAATTTTTTTATATAAGCATTTCAAGTTCATATTGCAAAAAATTGGATATTTAAATGAAAAATAATCATTTTAGTTATTTTGTTATAATTTCAATAATTGTTATTTGTGAGGACTTGAAACTTTTTCGATTGTGTTATTGTTTATACTTTATACCAAACCAACGGTTTATAACCTTTCTTTTCTTCCGTGTCCCAAAGCTAAAAGCTAAATACCTTGCTAGATTATGTCCTTCATTATAACTTTTAAACATTTTCACATAACTATTCTTAAATAGTATAAATAAAAAGAAACAATAAAGTAATTATTTTGTATAAAAAAAAAATGGAATGTTTTACTTTTTTAAGGAAACCATGTCTGTTTGAGCTACAATTTTTTAAAAGCAGGTTTAAATGGCGCAATGTATAATCTTAAATCTGCAGCGGCATTCAGCTGATATCTATATTTATTTTTGATAAAGATTTATGAAAAAAGCTCTCTCAACCAGCTGCGTACTATTAAACGACAATCGGAACTTAATTGCCATGTTAGAGAATTGCTCATATTTGATTCTAATATATATTAGTATTTATTTACTGTTTAACTATAGGTATATTATTATGGTGAAATAATATTATAACATATGCAATTTATTTTTGGCAAAAATTAGTTTAACCTACTCCATTACTAACCAATTACTTATAGCAATATAAACAATAAATATACAATAAAATATCTTTAGAAATATAGGCTGACAAACTGTCTTTGCTCAAAATCGTAATTATATGAAAATATACAATGATTTCTGATTGAATTCAAATTTAATACATCCATTGACGAAGTACACAATATGACACTTACTATAAAGCAGAGCAAGTTACACAATTCTTTTAAAATGAGTCCTCTCAAACATATCAGATCCTATTATTGGACAGAATTAAATAATTAAAAATTATTTTGTACTATTGGGGAAGCAGATTAATAAAACTAAAATCGCTCTGGTGGAAACAATTTGTACCTTCCAATTGAGGATGCATAGATATAGTTTCATATTCGTTATTTTACTTTTCATAATAAATTATTTCTTTTATCAAAACTTTATACGCTTTTATAGTTAACTGTATATATTGGTAAGTACAATTTCTACTAATATTATCAAATACATTCAAATACACTTCACTTAAAGTAAAATGTATGCGAAGTGTCGGGAAAATACATACAATCTCCCTAATCTAAGTAGGGGGGAACCTGCATATTGCCTATATAACCATCAGTACAATAGGCGTCGATAGTGCTCCCGGGGTTAATCTGTCTTCCCAATAAAAGATATTAATTTTTTTTTATACATGTTTTTACAAATTTATTTGAAATTCCTATAGTTTTAACAATTTAATTTATGTTGATCTGAAAAACACTAACAATAATACCCCATAATGTATACAATTTCCTAAAAAATAAATACCACTCTTAAGACAATTATAATTTTTCTAACCATGTTTGTTTTCACTATTAGATTTCATTTCTTCTTTTTGCTGTTTAGTCTGCTTTCCTTTCAAAATAGCCATTCTTAGGTATTCAATTTTCAGTTTAGAGTCTGATAACATTTGTTGGGCATCAGCTAATAACTTTTTATCTCTTGAATGGCCATTACTTAAACTTTGAATCATATTTTCAGCTCCTTGTTTGACCTGAAGAAAATACAATTGTTAATTGCATAAATAATTAAATTTAATGTTTTACTAGTAAAATTTACCTTTAATTCTATATTCAGCTGTTTTTCTAGTTGCACTAGTCTGAGGTCACTCACAAAATTAGATTCTTGGACTTGGTTAGGTGATTGACCAACAAACTGCATAGGCAAAGAACCTAAAAATATAATTATTACTATACATTCTAAAAACACAATTTTTATAATATATCTTTTATATTTAATAATAACAAAAACAACAGCCAAGTGTCAACTCATAACTCATTACATACAGTTTTAATGTATGTATGGCATGTGTATAACATAACAAAATATGGTATACATGTAATAAACTAATAATCAGTATTTATGAAGGAATTTTTCAATGGAAATAATAACCAACATATTTTCTATATATTTTGTATTATACACCCAAATGTTTTATTTTAATTTAATTAAAACCAATTATTTACAATATATGTATATTGTATAAGGTATCTAAATCAAGGAGAACATTAGATACTTTTACTTGAGTAACTAATCAATAATGAGTATCATATATAACCTGGATAGAACTTCATAAGTTTCTTTCAGAAGGATTCATTACATCTCTATTCTAATAATTTAATTATTAATAGTAATTTGTATAAAACTCGATCAGAACACAATAAACTTATGAAATAAATGTATCTACCATAGTTTTGTGATTTAGGATCCCCTCCACCCCACCATATGCCTAAACCATATTGTACACGGTGTCTATTGTTAAAAATTGTTCAACATTTGTTTGAAATTAAAGTTGTACCACTCTAATAATTAATTCACTAATAACTAATTGAATATAATTAATTTGTACATAGGCGTAATCCAATTTAAATGGTTTAAATAATTTAATGGGTTTCTTTCTTTTTTTTCATTTTCTAATTTTGACACTAAAATAATTTCCAAACAAGCAAAACTAATATTTAAGTACATAATAAAACATAAGAATCACTCATATACATAAACAAAAATTGGGAAGAGAAATCCAAGACCTTACAACAATGTAAATAATATTATTGTTATTAACAATGAGCTAGATTTTATTTTCTCATCACTACTTATATAATTTTATTCTTAAAAGTTCAACCAAATAACAATAGGTAATTGCTTTCCGACCAGTGTAAAAATATTAAATGAGAAAATAAATAATATGTCATGGTAGACATTAAAAAATATCCTATACATAGCTTAACGATGAGAATAACAGACAAATATTTGGTGCATCAATTTAAAATTTAAAGCCATATTATAATACATTAGGAAAGCACTATATAAAATATTTATTCTCATAGGTTATACCTCCCTCTTTAATACAAATTGTTTATGATCTATAAATGAAAAACTATTTTTCAGATCATTCTCATAGTGATACCATACTACAGTAGATGCATACTTCCGCAGACGTTTCTTATTTTGAACTGAGTATAAATGTAGATGTTTTATACATAAACACGTTGATACAGATTGATTATCACTACTTTTGGAGGAATCATAGAGAGCTTATTAAAAAGTTCATTATGATAATGATAGATGTATTTTGGAAAACTTCTCATCGTAGGTATAATTTGGGGAGGTGATTGGGTGTGCTTAGAACCCCCAATTTTAAACTAGCCATAATTAAAGGACATCACAACACTGATTTATTATTTCTAATTTAAAGTTTATTGGTATAATATAGTAGTCAAAATAATGAAAAATCTTTGCTAAAAATCCGAAGTTCAAAAAATGATTATTAAACAAGATAATGAGAGTTGATGAATAGGAGCATGACGTCATAGATCCAATGGGTGAGTAGCCAGTAGCCACCCATGTTTTACATGTAAAAGTAGTTTAATTAACATAATGATTTTAATAACTTATGTCTTATATACCTAGTACCTATTTTAGAATTTTTTTTACATAATCCAAAGTATATGTTTGTATAGTTTGTAAGTATAGTATGTGCTTAAGACGATGGCGTGATTTAAAATTGAATATATCTTGTAATTGTATACATATAATAAATTATAATTAAGTAAAACTATTGAGTAATATTCGCGCCATATTGCTGTATGAACCAAATTTTACAAAATTTACTATAATAGTTTTATCTACTATGAAAAAACTAGATAGTATATCAAAATTATAATCGCACCAGTGTCATAAACACAAGACAACACTTGATTACATAAAAAAAATATTATCTTTAACAATTGAAATTAATGTAAATATAATCTAGACACTTTTACACGTAAAACATACGCCGCCGTTCAGACTTTGGCTCTATGACATCACAAGTATATTTTCAAACGCTTGTATCTCATTGAATAATTAGTGTCAAAGTTTGGAACCCACACCATATTTCTTGGATAATGACAAACTTTAAATCTAAGCAAACTTGTTTTTAGTGTTGTGATGTTGTGATCCTTCAACATAATGTATGCCATTTAAGATATATTATAATTCTTATTTTATATCAATAAATTATTATGTACAAAGCCTACAAAGCCATTACACCTAATATATTTATAATATATGATTATTGAATGAGTGGTTTTGAAATATATGATTTTTCTCATTGTATAATTCATGGTAAGTCTCATTAAAAAAATAGGATGGTATTCAACACTTTTAGTTTTTTTTATTAAAATTGTGCCTTAGCATCTAATAAGATTTTTTTTTAAATACTATTTTAACAAAAAGTTGCAACCATCAAAAAAATGTAACATAGTATACAAATATAGAACATTTAACATCCAAAAATACAAAATATACAAAATTTAACAAAAAATAGATATTAGATCCCCTAAAAATGTTGTGCCGTTCATTCTTATAAGACTACCTAATTAGCTCAAAAATCACACTAAAAGCAAAAATAGTTGATCTATATCATCATGTTTAATGAATATATTTTTATTGTATTTTATAACTACGCAACAGAAAACAACAACAATGACATGGACCACCAGTCACTTTTAATTAGTACCTAAGTATTTAAATATATTTATCAGTGTCTAATCACTCTAATCACTGTCATACTACTTAGTATAATAATAAATCTAAAAGAATAATTCATTTTATAACTTGGACTATAATTTTTACAAGAAATTTTGATGATTAGGTAATTGTACATATTTTAAATTTTTAGTTACTTGAAATAGGTCGATCTGTTGAACCATTTATTCCAGATGTCTTATGAACTCCAGAAGAAAATGAATTATTTGAAGCCCCAGAACACGACTGTTGTCCTGTGGCTCCATGGCTGAGTATGATATGGGATTCAAGTTCTTGCAGTTCTGCCTGAAGTTCTGCAAGCTTAGTGTTAGATTTTTTCACAATATCCGTAACATCTGATAATGATTTTCGATCCGTGACAACTTCTCGCAATTTTTCAGCCCCTTCTTTGATTTTAAGCTCTCGTCGAATCTCACGCCTAATGGTTTCCTTCAGCTCATCTAATCGGGCAGGAGTTAATGCATCGATGATCGACAGATCGTGTCCTGTACCATCAGTGTTTGTTACCAAACCATACTTAAAACCCAATTCATATAAAACAGGATTGTATAAATATTCACCCTAAAAAAAAAAAATGTATTTATTATAATTTCATATATAAAAATGTTTAATAATATTTCATTAATAGTTGATAAAGATGGACAGTTTATTTTTTATAAAATTACATGTGTTAGGAATCAATTACATATCATTATTCAAAATATTATGTTGTTTTGTTATACCTACTTATAAGCAAATTCTTTAACCCTACAGCACACGCTTCATGGTCAAAAAGACCAGGCTTTTCAAATTTTGTTCATTATTACAAAAATACAAAATATTAACCTAATCCAACTTAGTTACCTTCTAATTAGGTGATAAATTAAAATTAGATACAACTCCCAACTGTATATGATCTGATGTCAGTAATATAGAAGTGTTTAAAGTCATTACCAGACATTACGTATTAATATACGGTCAAATAGACTGTGTGCGTGATCGTAAAAAATCAATTATGGGTTATTTTTAAACTGTGTTTCTAATAATTGCTGCTCGATAAACGAAATTAATAGTTATTACATTTTTATTGTGACTGGTTATCTGACTATGATTTGAGCCATACTGTATGTGACTAAAAAGACCGTGTGCGTGTATTCTCTTGAATATTTTAAATATGTGTGATCTAGGGTTTTAAAAAAAAAAAATGCCCATAAATGTTAGGTACCTAACAGAAAGTTAATTAATTTATATTTTTAAGTTAATAATATATTTTTTTGGTGTTCTTGTCATTTGCGGTCTACCTCAAACTTTCCGTCTACCACACATAATAATGATTAGACTTCAATGAACATTAAAGCTTTATCTTAAAGATGTAATTTCTATACAAAATACAAATAATGTAATGCTATAATAAAACCTGGGTCCAGCAATAATCGTGAATGTATGAGAAAACCAGTTTAGTTTGTGCTGTAGTACCTGTGATACTTTGCTTTGCAGTTTATACACTTTAAACATTATGTTAGCCAGTTAGCCTAACATTTCAATATAATTATTCAATCAAAGAAAAATAGTAAATACCATAGCTTTTTTAAAGGAAAAAGGTCTAATTGAAATCGATTATCCTCCTTGCGTACACATTTTAAACTCGCAAAGAACGGGGAAAAGATCAAACCGTGATACGATTCACTAAGAAAACTGCCAGAGAACTCAATCCATCCGTAAAGGTAACACTTTTTTCACGTACAAAGATAAAAATGGTCAATGTAATAGTGGTTTATCTTTTTCAGATATATTAAAGTTAGCTTATTATTGGTGTCTTGAAATACCACAAAAAAATAGAGTAAAATTAAATGGACGTGGAAATCACACAGTGCACGACCGGATGAATTTATGTTGTGACATACCGGTACCTGTTTTTGAAAAAAGAAGGAAAATGCGGGGGAAAATGGGAGGTACAAATACCATTATTCAAGTCGATAAATCTTTAATGAGTGGAAAAATAAAGTACAACAGAGGACAATTATTAGGGGCTGATAAAGCTACTGAAAATGTAGATGTAAAACGAGGTGAGCGAAGAAGAGAAACCTGATTTTAGTAATCGAAATTATGGCAAAAAACATACTGGTCCATGGGTGTTTGGAATGTGTCAAAAAGACAAAAATGGTATAATTGAGGCAAGATACTTTGTTGTAGAAAAAAGAGACAGACCAACATTTCATTCAAAATGAAATTTAAATTGGTAATACACTCAGACGAATGGCTTGCATATAAGACATCAGAAACTTAGGGTACATACTTTACATCGTAAACCATTTCCAATTTTTGGTCGATCCCACCAGTGGTAGACCGTTTACACACACAACGAACAGAAAGTTAATGGGGAGGTTTAAAACTTCAAATTGTAAAAAAAAATGCATGGTACATCACCGAGATCACCAACATTGCTACCCTTGTATTTAGCGGAATAATGGTGGCGTCTAAAAAACAATACAGATGATACATTTGAATATTTTTTAAGACGTAAAATTATATTGTACCTAATGTAAATAGTAAAAATGATGAAAGTATTTTTTGATTTTTATACATGTAGATATATTATTATATTAGGTATTACATTTGTTTTGAATTTTTGATAATTATTTTTCTATAGGTACTGAATGTAATTTTTTTATACCTAACGTAAATAATAAAATTTTTTTGATTTTTATACATACCTATAAACATATTATAATATTATATATTTATTTTAATTAATTACTCTAAATATTGTTTATCATTAAACCAAATATACTATAATTCTACTATAAATTAATTATATATAAAAAGTATGTTATAGACATGCGGTCTATGACGTATAGAGACATGTGTGGTAGATGGCAAGTGTGCGCAGTAGACTGCATATGATATGCAGAACCGTATGCTACAAGAATACCTTTTTTTTGAGAATTTTTTGATTATGGATCCTGTTCAACTAATTACAATTTTCAATTAGGTGAAAAATATTCAAATTTTTGATTTTAAGAATATATAGTAATAAATTTATGATTTTAGAAAAATTATATATACCTATAATTTAGTTTCACAAAGCCTAAAATATAGGTAAAAAGTTATAAAAAATACTGTGATTTTCAAAAATTAATTGGCTCGCAAATGTTTATGTTACCTAGAGAAAATTTACATTTTTATAGGTACATAGAAAATATACATAATAGTAAAATTTTAAATAGAGAAACATTAGGTATAACTAGACATTTGTACATTGTCAATTTAACATCAACCTTCAAATCAATATATTTAAAGGTACTAACCGTTTAAAAGACATCAATTAAAGTTTTTAAAGGATTTAATTTTTCTTAATTATAAAAAAAAAAATCATTCTAAAATCATATTATTAGGTAAACATCAGTTTTAATTTGATTTGGAACAAAATATATCAAAAAAATAGGTATTTAAAACCATATACCTAAATTAATGATTTTCCCGATATTTTTAAAGTAAGTAGGTACAGTTAAATATTTGGTTCTATTAATTTACAGTGGTTCTATAAGAGAACGTCATCATTCCCGTAGGAAATGTTTAGGAAAGAATAAAACATTGGCGGGATGTGATATACAATATACAATATTAATTAAATGTAAATTTTATCAGAAATATTATCTATACAATTTAGGTATCAAATTACTGAGTACTCTAATTGATTAAACCGAAACATTTAAAAATAATAAACTACCAGATTATTTCAAACATAATTAGTTACTTATGTAAAATTAGTCTGAATGAAGAGGTTATTTTTATTTTCTTTAGCAGAGAAATGGATATAAATTATTTTTTAAATGTGATGAATGATGATTTATCATATTGAAAATAAAAATATATGTTATAGATTATTAAGGTCATGTTGGTACCTACATATGTTCCCAATGACATTGAACATTTTATTTTTAGATAGCAATTTAAAATATTTAACTATCAACTCTCTGAAGATCGTTTTTGTCTTTCATATAATATTAATCTTTATCAAAATGTATCTATGTTATCACTTATCATCAATGTTAAATCAATTAACAATAAAAAACAAAACAAGTCATAACTCATAATAATGGTTACAATTCATATTAAAAAATGTTCATATCGATAATTTAAGAAAAAAACAATAGGTATTTAGAAGTTACCTTTAACCCTTTCACTTCAACACTATTTATCCACTGCAACCTGTGTATGCTACGTAAAATAAAAAAATAAACTTTTTTTTTTTAATTTTTAGATCTATAATATGATCTAATAATTTAAGTTTAAAAAAATGTCAGTCAAGGTTTCATAATCTTGTAAGATACAGGCAAATGAGAATGTCATAAAATGCAGGGACTTAACAGTAGGTCTGGATCAGTGAAAGGGTCTAACTCTATACCTATCTACAACAATTTTTTCATAAGTAAATAAATAATAGAAAAAATTGGTTTTTTAATTTTTACATACATATCATATCTTAATGTGAAGAACTCTAGTCTTTAATCCTTTCATCAATTAAATTAACAAAATCAATAAACTTAGTAGTAAACATATTATTTGGTTAGAATTTCTATTTTAATTCTATTATTTAAGAGGAAGTCAGCACACCATTTGTCTTCTCTTTCTGACCCACGCGTATCACAAATGTATGTTTAATAGAACCAACTTATATTGTTACTTTTAATATTAAGAGTTAATTCAAATTATCAAACTTTAAGCTAAGAACATTACCTGTGTGTGTCCCTGCGTTGGATTTTTTACAATATTTTAAGTTTTATACAATTTATAAGCATTTTTTAATTAAAATAATTTACAGTTCATAACTTATAAAAAATTCAAATATCTAAAATAGTCTAAGTATGGAAATAGGTAATATTCTAAACTTAAAGTTTGACAATAAGTAAATTAATTCTAATATTAAAAGTAATAACACATGGTTGGTTATGCTAAACGTACATTTGCCATATTGTGCATGGGTCTGAGAGAGAAACCAAATAGTGCGCCAACATCCTCTTAAGTGATTACCAAGCTGAACTCACTGTAACAAGACATCAATTGGAAAATAATTAGGTAGACACTTAAGGCTATACATTAAAGCCTACTTAAGTGAGTAGATACAAATAGGGCCAAGCTAGGTATACGTCATTAAGAGGATGTCAGCACACTATTTTTTTTTTTCTCTGACTGACACATACGAAACATAGACAAAACGCATTTGCACAGAATCGTTTTTTTCTATGGTTTTAAGTAATCTTAGAATAAAATCACCCATTACAAAAAAGATAAAGAGTTTATAGAGTATATAGAGTTTAAGTTTATAAATTACCTATAACAAACCATTAAAAAAGTTTTTGACAAATTCATTAGTTTTCAAAAACCCATTTTTACCATTTTTTTACCCTCTACTAAAATAATTTTTTATGATAGGAAGGCCACAGATATCATAGTTATTATTACTTGTGTAAGGTAGGTACGAGGTACCTATTAGTATAATAACAATTAGGTAAGTTAATACTGATAAATATTTTATGTGCATGTAATAAAAACAATGTAAAACACTAAAACTATATACATATATAGTATATACTATACGCATACTACTACATATACCTACCCGAAAATACCCCCCCCCCCTAAAATAATAATTAATTTGTATACCTAGTTTAAAGTTGATATAGTTTTTAAAATAATAAACTTGTAGGTATTAAATTACATGCTAAATGTCATGTCATACAGTTAAGTAATAGGATATTACAATATTAGCAGTAGCCATTAGGTTGGTCAACTTTGGTCAACACATTTCTATAATTAATATTTTATAGGTAATTATTACTTTACATAGTACCTAGGACCTAGGTATCTTCTAATCAATATTTTTTCTTATTTAGTAATTTTTAATTAATATGACAACTCGTGTGACAAGTAGCTAATAGCTGATAAATCAAGAAATAATTTCAGAGATACAAAGCCCCACAATTTTTTTCTTTACAGTAGGAACTAGGAAGTACTTTAATATGGTAAAACATTTCAGAAAATAAATAATTACAGGACAGCAAACAAAAAAATTAGGTACATATACCTATATTTTAAACTAAAATTTAATGATACCTAACTGATAACTGAAATAATAATACGTATGTCAACTATATTGTATATTTAAATGTATGCAAATAACCAAGCGTCACAATATATTTTTTAAAATAAAAACTTAGTACCTATCTAATCATCGAGAGGTTAGCGTTTATACACTATCATGAATTATTATAGCTACCTTAAAATTCTCAATTACCTATATGATAAGTTATAGAAACCTATTTTATAAAAGTCCATAGTTAGTAATATCAAATTTAAATTTTGTTGGAATTTCCTAATTCATATTTTTTGATAACATTTTTTAAGTGTTAATAATATGTATATTACAGTTTTAGACTTCAGTTATTATTGTCCAATATATCTTAATATTAACTAACCTACCTACTCACTATTAATGAATGAAAAAGTAGGTATTTATTATTTTGTATTAATACATATTGTTATATTTTACTAATTTATAATACCTACATAGTAGATACATAGTACATACCTATCTACTTTATTTTAAGGTAGCTAAACATAGAATTGTAATATAGGTAATTTCCCAATATAAATAATAATGTTTACACCACCACCTATCGTTATATATAATTTTAAAAAGTAAAACATATATATTTATTATTTAGGCAAGCATTTACCTACCTAACTATTTTAATTTTATTTAAAATATGTTTATAAATAGGTAGATAAGTAACTTGAGACTATTAGCTATTAACGTAAATTCAACTTTAATTCTGCTAACATACAATTTATCTGAACGCTTATTTTTAGTTTATTATTAGTACAAAAACTATAATTATTATTTTTGAAAGTAGTAAATTGTAATACAATTAAATAAGTACACTGAGAATCCACTGTTATATCCTAAAGGCATAAAACTATTGTAAATTAAAAGTCAAAAGGATAAACTTGTCATTATTGTTTATTTTAACAACCTACTAAGTAATATTTACCTATAGATAATAATATTATGCAGGTACTCCCTCAATATATATACATACAGTGTACATATTATGCTCAATATTATACATAACTAAACGTGGCTCAAAATCAATTCAAAATATTAAAACTATTCAATGAGCGCCAATAAAATAAAATTCTTGTGTTTATTTCTTATACCCCTCACCTTATACTGAATACCTGCCTACATTATTGAGTACAAAATAATACCCGAGATATGTAATACCTACCTACGTGAAATATAAACAGAAAATAAACAAATTGGTATAGATGGATTCAATGAATATGTATATTTTGTTTTGAATGTTATTAAATCTTAACTCGAATTGGTGCCCACTACATCAAGCGAACATGAATAATAATATACATTATTGTACTCCGTTATCCTGTTGAATTGAAGATATTATAGTGCCTACCTATATTATAATAAAATAGGGTAGGCATTAAAATAATATAGTATTATGTCACTCGACATTTCGACAACACCAAATTTCCAAATTTCAATCAAAAGTATCAAATACGAGACTAAATATCTATAAATTGATTCATCTATTGAAAACAACACTATTTTCATTTTTTACAAAATACAAATATAAGTAAGTACTCATCTTGTTTAAGAGTTATTAGTATTTATTAGTATGCAATATACCCGATAATATACAATGAACTACCTTGCCAAAAACAAGCTTGTATCAATTATTTAGTTTATTAGTAAACCACAAAACCCGAGTACAAGTCCGCGTCTGTACACCAACCAAGCTTTCAAGTTGCCAAGTCAAGCATACCTTAACTGACAACTGCCCTTATCATTTTACTCAACTTCTTGTCAACTTCTTTTGTAAATTTGATTTATAGTCTTATACACGTTGTATACTTCTTTTCCGATCATACCAAGAGGCATATTGATTGTTTAAAAAGTATCCAGGACACTACAATGATTAAAACTTTTATATTTTAAACAAAAAAGTGTAGGGTATGGTACGTGCTAACTTCATGAACATATTATGACCTTGAAAGAGCTCCAAACATCGAGTAAACGAGGGAATAAGGCTTTTACGTAAAATTCAGCTTACAGACTGATTGTAGTTCTAAATTTTTACGTTATTCAAGTTGGCAATATCTAAGCTGTTAAGGAACATTCAACAAATTCAATAACAGAACTTTGAGATTAAGCATAATAGTTTTTGACAGGCCTAAGGTAAATAAATCAAGTACTGAGAGATAATTTTGATAAGAATAAAAAAGGTATTATAAGCTTAAATATTGTTAATTATATAAGTATTTAAAACAAATGTGTTTAAATTAATGACTTAACTTAAATTAACTACCTACCTATAAACTTGAGTTCTTAAAGAGTTTGAAAAAACAATAGATATCAAATAGATATCAGTTTATCGTTCTAACGTGTTAGTTCTTGGCGAGGTTCTTGGCATATAATAACAAGGCATATCATAGATTAACTAGACACATATAGGCGAATCCGGTAAAATCATTCAGAAATACTTAGGTAGGTATCTACATTTGAATTTGTTTACATATATTATAATATATTAGGAGGAACTAGATAAGCAACATACACCTACTACCTACCTATTTTTATTAAATTATTTTCAAAAAATATATCCAGGTAGATAAGTAGGTAGGTAGATGTTTAATTAACGAGTCAAAAAGTGAAATCATCCAAATATCAGTAAGGTATACACTATACACTTAACTATAATACAATCCTACCCAAAACTTTATTAACTTTGATTACCAAGTATCTAGTAGGTACTGACCAAATTCGGTATACCTATAACTACTACTATAATGCTACAAGAAACATATTGTAACTACATATCTAATCAAAAGGTTATCATTATATGTAATAGCGACACAATATTTTAGGACACAACAATCTTAATAATATGCTTAATCCAATACTATACACATGGCAGCAGAAGCGATTTGATGTTAAGAGACTAAACCTAACGCGGGGTGCGCCTAGACATAGACAACAGAACAACAACAACAACAACAACAACAACAGTAAACACGAGTAAACATTTAGTAAACAATAACAATAGGTATTACAATATCATTATTATTTACAAACAAGGCGAACGGACGGAGTGCGCGCCTAATGTTCGAGCGCTAGTGCATCGGCGTGTCGGTGTCGCCGCCAACAGGTGCGGGGCGGAAAACGCAGGCCCAAAAATACCCACTTCCCGCCGCACAACCTTGGAACGAAACGTAGCGTGCCTACAACTGCCTAACCGCCCCAATAAACGATTATTATGTGTATGCCACACGGAACGAACACCACTTTATAGGTGTCGATCGATAAGCCCGTGAAGGTGCTTACCGGGCGACGACGTACGACATACATATCCACTAGCCTAACAATTATTATGTTTCGTTTACATTCAATCGGACAGGCGGGACGAGAAAACGTCGAAAAATCCGACCAAAACGACATTCGTCCTCGTTAGGGGGGGCAGAATTCACGGTTCAAACGCGCATCGTCGGTGCGGTGCGGGGTGTTGGACCACAGGTGAATGAACTTACCTGATAATACTCGGCCATTTCAACCGCCGACCTGACTGACGCCGGCTACACGGACAGCGACCGCGGGCAGCTGCTGCTCTCCTACGACGACACGTTCGGGCGACAACGGGCGACCATCACACCAGCCGCCAACCGGTTGGGGGGCGAACGTAAAAGCTCGACGCGCACGCACAATCACACAGACAACAACACGGAACCGCGCGACGGCGACCGAACTACGCGGACGAACGAACAAAAACGACTACCGGCGGCGGAGGAACGCGGAAAACCATTTCGTTTTGCGGCCACGGCTCCTCTAGTTGCGCGCAATCCGACGACACACGAACACCATTTTTTTTTTCCTTCCCGTAGCACCGGTGGAGGGGAAAACAATAATAACATACGCACGCACGCACGCACGCACGCTCAGCGTACACACGAAACTTGAGGACCGTTGGAATTTGATTAACGACTCGGCTGCCGACTACAACAACTCAGTGCTCAGTTGTACTCGAGGAGGCTCGACCCGACTCGTTACCGGTCGTCACTCGTCAGCGTCAGGCCGCCAGTCTCGTTCGGCTCTGCGCTCGTTAGTCGCTACGCGATCGGAGACGATCGGAGCTGATGCGCAATCGCGGTGGGTCCAGTGTCGCCACATCCTCGGCGCGGCCAGAGAAAACATGAATAATATAATGTACAGTAGTAATAACTATATATATAGTAATATTATCATTACAAGACACGACTACGAGTACGAGTACCACCGAGGAGGCGATTTACATTTATACCACGATGTAGATAATATTAGTATTTAGTATAATATTGTCATCGTGATTTATATATACCAATAAATTAATGACTATATTGTATATTATTTAAATATATAATATATTATAACCCATATTATAAGGTTATACTATTATAGTAGTATAGTCACAGGGACAGAATAGAATAAATTTTGTATTTCTGTGGTAGTAGGTAAAATCATTGATTTTATAATATAGGTATTGTAAAATCAATGGTAATAGATAGGTATACAACTTACTTACTCTGGTGACTTGTACCCTTTTATGTAGATTCAGACAATTTAGTCACTCAATGTCCAGTGGGCAGTGACTATACCTAATACATTATTATGTAGGTAACCTAAGACCTAACTAGTAACTAATCAGTTAGGTACTGCGTAAGATTCTTTGTTCTGTGATCAGATTTTAATATCAAATTAATGATAAAATGTCTGTCTATAATAATATAATATGTAAAGTGTAAACACTAAACTGTATGTCTGTAGGTTACACCTCGTCACCTTACACACATTAGATATTATGTTTTGCGCTTCTGTCAGATCTGTAACATGTATTTAAAATAGGTACATTACTATAATAGTATAATGTAAATATTAAATAACACATGACCGTCAATAAAAAATCATCGTCGCGGTCGGAGGGTTATAGACTACTCTACCATAGAACCGTTGTGACCATGACAAACTAAATTTCATGATATAAATTATAAATAACAATATGTTTATGTCATTGCAAATTTATTTACTTTGTCATGACACTATAGCAGTACCGTTTTTTCGTTACTCGTTGATTATTTAATCGCAATTTGTAATTAACTAGTTATTACTGATAATGTCTACCTATAGGCTATAATATATAAATAGATACATTACTATTTATTATTCTTAGACGCGTTGTGGCGTCAATCATGATTATTTAAAAAAAAATAGTACCTATACGTGTCCTACCTTTTGTAATTCTATAAATATCACAGATTAAATGAAAATCTGTGTAAATATTAAGAGGTTGTCTTAATTATGTGTTGTCTCCGTCACGTAGGTACGATATAGACAAAACGCGATTACGCAGTCAGTTTTGAGTTTAAACCCGGCATTAGCTATTTTTTTTTATTATATGTTGTTTGGAGAGGGAGGAACGGTTGGTTGAAACACGTTTGTATTTGTGGCGAGGATTTGTTGCTGAAAATCCCGGGTGGTCACCCATCGTAGCAACACCGGCCGTTTCGTACACTCGAAGAGTTTCCGCAGTTGAGTGTTCGGACCGCGCCACACCGAGCCACAATAACAGTAATTATTCTCGTGTGTATACTTCCAATAAATGTGATTTCGATGTTACTTGCTATGAGATTATGACAGTGGCGGATATCGGGGGTAATTGGTGAACCATCCCTCTTGGGCTTTTCGCCGCCACATGCGGACCACCCCATGGGAGGGGTTGAACGTAATTCCCTCTGTGGATTTGAAATTCTCCCCCCCCCCTCAGAACTAGAATATATCCGCCACTGGATTATGATTTATGAGTACATATATAATATTATATTTTACAATGTACGTATTAAGTCTAGAGTAATATTAATTATAACTTAAAAGTTAATTATTCCTTTATAGCTCCTAATTACCGTGGAAAGAAAAATTAAACAATTATTGAGAAAATGTAATGAATAAACCAGTGATAATAATAATAATATAGTGAACATATTATTTTAATTGAACAATACAATTTAAACCTAATTGTGTATGGCGACGGGGCCACATATATAATATGTCATAACTCATAAGTCATCACTATAGGTATAAAATATGTAATAAAGTTTATAATATACTATATCTGTGACTTATGAGTCTGTGATATCACACATTACATTAAAAAATATTAGCCTTCTGTTTTCATGGTCACGGGTTAGCACTTAATAGTTGATATAACTACAACTTAAATACAACTGAAAAATTGTCATCTTAGCATCCTGGCTCGAGCCTATATGGCTAATGGCTATATATAGCTATATACCTACAACCTACCTATCGCGTAATTCCATATTATAGTTGTAACTTGTAATAATTAATATTTTGTATATAAAGGGTATATTTTCTTACATCTCTACTTAAAAACCTAAATTAGTTTTTAAATTTTTATCTACGTTTTCCATCACAAAAGTCACACATATATATAGACAGTTTGAGCTATATTATTAATATTATGTATACTTATATGTATATACTATATACTATACAGGCAATATACGTATATTCATAAACAAAGAAAATAATATTATTATTCTTACCAATATGACGCGTCCCGCGTGATTTTAATTGTTCTATCAATGAAACTATTTACTTATTAGTTATTATATAGTACCTACAATTATTGACAATAGTACCAACTATTAAAAATTATGGTACCTATTATATATTAGATACCTACCATTAGTTATAATTTATAAATATTAGTACATAATTGTAGCACTAATTTTCTAATACTTTTCTTTTCTTATTTTATACTTAAACTATTTTTAATTTAACCACATTAAAAAAAACCCGAGGAGACTGTTTGCTGTGTATAGTATAGATTTCAAGTGTACGCTTCGTATATCAAGTGTACTTGGACCTGGATTTTGTACTATTATAGGTATACTTGTCACTTGATATTTCTAAACTTCTTTCGTAATTTTGGGAGTGAATATTTGTTACAGAGATTGGATCTAGATTGCTAAAGGTAACTGCCTGGCTACCTATTATAGACTATAGAAGCCATTGAACGGGAGCAACAAAAAACCCAGAGGGAAACCACTGTTAAATATTCTTTTGCTGCTTTTAGATTCATATATTTATGAATTACGATTTATGAGTACCTAGCCCATGTTAAGTAAATTGGATAAGAACTTGCAGTATGGGATGGCTCTCAGAAATTTAAGGAGAATCCCCTCCGGCCTCCACTATACAGTGTCAAAAGGCAAAAGCTTCATTTGGTCATGCCGTCATGGTCATCCACGAGTTCAAATATATAGTTTTTATTTTGTTTTTTCACACTTTCTGTACTTTTTAGGGGTTCAGGTAATATTTTTATTTATTTTTATTTACACTCGATGTTTTTGATGGTAGTTATAAATTTCTTAACAGAAATAATATCATAATTCAATATTGTCATTTTTATAAAGATAGTCTGTTAAATAGTCAATGTCAGCCAAACATTCAACAGAAGTACTAAATATTAATAAATTATCAAAATCCTACATTTAAATTGTTTTAAATGTTTTCATAATATTATAATTTAAATAATTTTGTACCGAAATAGTAATTACTAATTAATAATTATAATATTTGAAGGTAATTTTTTTAATTTTTTGGCATTTTTAGACTTTTAGGGCATTATAAGGCCCCTGCAAATGTGTCATTTATAAGGAGTTGTGTTTAGGCAATTATTTCGTTCCTGCGATTACTGTGTGTATAATATGCTGCCCTACCATCACCCGCGACCCACATCAATTTACAATACATTGTAATTTCTTATCTGGTTTATGGTCGCACGCACGCACATGCACAAGTAATTTAATGTCTAAATCAAAATATTCAAAACCAATTTATAGACATGAAATAGCCGTCACACTGACAAAAATTAAGGTACTTCTAGTGGTTAGATTTAAAAATGTAAAGATGTTTGTGTTGGTTAACAAGCTTACTTTGCATATCGGCCGGAGCACTTTTTCAATTTTAGCAATTCATGACGAGAATAAATATTTTACATTTTATAAATTTATAAATTTTTAGTATTGAATTTATTCAAAAATATCTAAAATATAAAAATAATGCTCCGACCGATGCAAAGTAGACTATTGTTGACCAATTAAAACATCTTTAAATTTTTTAAATCGCAACAGTAAAAGTACTTTAATTTTTTTCAGTCGCTAAGGTCGTTTTGATGCAAAATTAATAGGGTTTGCAGGGGCTTTAAATTGATTTAACTATTTCAGGGTAATTACTATTTTTTTTAGATTTTTTGGGTCATCAAAATCCTAGCCCTAGTTAATTTAATTGGTGTAAATTTCACAAGCCAGTTCGAACTTGTTCAGTGTCTACTGTCTTTAATAAGAGTTTTCAGTTCCTTTTTACTTATAACTATATAGTTATAAGCAAATACATTATATAGCAATGTTGGACTAGGTATCTGGATCTGATAAGCAATCTGGTTGTGTTAGTATTATAGTATCAAGTTTCCTCGGTAATAACTACGCAGTGT